CAGACGTGTGCACGTGTGTGTTTGTGCACGTGTGTGTGTGTGTGTGTGTGTGTGTGTGTGTGTGTGTGTGTGTGTGTGTGTGTGTGTGTGTGTGTTCTTTGACGCACACTCACTCTCTATGATGTCTCCCAGGCCCTGTGCATACAGCAGGTCCTTGAGGCGAGCCACCTCCTCCTTCAGCTCACGCACCAGACGGTTGCTGGGGTCCTCGTTGATCACGGCATTGCAGCGGATCTGTTTGGCACGGTCAGCATACCTGGAGGAGCAAAGGTCACCGAGGTCAAGAAACCAGTGAGGTATAAAGCGTGATGCCTCTAAAATGAGAGTGCAACGCTGCAGCCCCCTCAGCAACCCTACTTCCAGCATCCTCGAATATAAGCAGCACAGATCTCCAAAATCCTTTACTCTACATGTTGAATCTGTGGTGAAGGTATCATTCCAATTCACTTAGCAGAAAACTACTGATTTAATTAGATATGAGAAGATGTTTTATTGAGATCTTTCTCACCGGAGGGTACTGAGGGTTTCATCATAGTTAATGTCAGCAGGGCTCAGGGCAGCCACCATAGCAGTACGAGAGTTACCTCCTAAAAGACAGAGAATAAGACTGTAAGAATGTTTTAATCGACAGAAGAAGTTATTATTATTATTACAGTTATTATTCATTGTAATAGTAATATTAGTAGTAGTAGTAGTAGTAGTAATATATACAGTATTTTGCATACCTAAGTTCTCCCTCAGTAGCCATGTCAGAACTGAATCTCTGTAGGGAATAAAACTTTCCACCTTCTTCTTTTTCTTGTTCTGCACAAAAATAAACACATGTATATTTTCTATTGACCCTGAAAAAGATACAGGGAAGAAACTGTACATCCTATTGGCCTTTTCAAAGTTGTGATAGTTGCTGTTGCTCACCTTGTTTGGTGCCGAGGCCTGACAGTTGAAAGAGAAATATGTGTTATTCCAATAATGGTAATAAGGAGAAAAAAATGTTCAGCAGCTAAGAATCTTTGACGTCAGATGTAAAAACATACCAGTTCAGCCAGAGCAGAAATAACTTTCCCCAGTGTGGTTAAAGACTTGTTGATGTTTGCTCCTTCCTGCAAATACAAAGCAATAAAAACAGTTATCTCAGGTCACCGTGACCTTTGACCTTTTACCACTAACATCTAAACAATTACTCATTGCGTCCAAGTGACAACTAGTCCCGAGTCGAAGAAGTGCCCTCAAGGCAGATTTGAGATATCATGTTCAAGAGGAAAACTTGTTATGTGAAGTCACTCTGACCTTGACCTTTGACTGTCCAAATCTAACCAGTTCATCTTTGAGTCCAATGTTTGCACATAATTTGAAGGGATTCACTTCTAGAGATGTTAACAAGAATGGCTCCAAATGTCTCCGGCCACAACAACAACCTCCCTCTCACCTTCAGTCTGGTTCCTTTAGCTCCGGTTGAGTCAGCTCTCTCGCTGCCAGCCAAGTCCACCAGACTGATCTTGCTGACCTGTGTGATGGTGGGAGATCATTTCAAATTAAAAACGACACCAACAACAATGAGCACATTTCGCCTGAACCTACAATAGGGGAACAGGCCGTTTAAGTTTATCTGTGGTTATAAATCAATACAGCAACTCATTAATCAGTTAACAACACTGCTGATGAGACATGAGGTCATAAAAGGCAGTAAAATATTTTCTGCCTCACAGCTCCTCTGCTGAGGCTGGGACAGCTTATTGATTTTTTTTTAATAAGAAAAAATAACATCCTCCTGTCGGATAGAACATAAAGACGTGAGCGAGAGCTGAGCTCGGTGTCAGAACCTTTTCTAAAGGGTTTTCTGTCTCCATGTCGTGTTTCTTCTGTGTGAAGATGATGTTGAAGACAGCGTGGGAGCGACTGCTGGTCTCATTCATGTTGGTAGCAGCCACAGTCCTGAAAAACAGAAAATAAATAGAGTTACCCACCTGTGGTTGCATGACTCCACCAACCACTGCTGTTTCAGTTTTTTTGTCCAGAACTCATATGAGGCCTTTGACCACTGAAATCAGGTAATCCTGGTAAAAATCTGAAGAAATTCCATCCAGACAGATTAGAGATATCATTTTCAAGAGGCCAAAAACATGTTTGTGAGGCCACTGTAACCTTTGACCACCAAATCTAATCAGTTAATCTGAGAGGCTTGGTTAACCTTTCTATTGTGTTCACAACCACCTCCGGCCACTGGCTGTCGCCGTTACAGAAACATAAAAATAGTAAATCTTGATCTTGTCTATCGGTTATTTTTGCTCCTGGGATCCAACAGTTGTTCCATTCACTGATTAATGAATTCATCCCAACCACATCGCCCATCTTTGCCATCCATTACTACATCCACCAATCAACTGGTTAATCCCTGGTTGACATTCAGGCTGTCACCTGGCTTTGTTTCCAGAGTCCATCAGGTCCTGGATGTCATTGTAGGAGGTGACGGCCAGTTTGGATAAATCTTCCACGTAAGGTCCCATCAGCGGGTGCTCTCTGACACGCAGGTTTCCTTTGTTTTTGGGGTTCAGCAGGTCGCGTACACGCTCACAGTAAATCTCCATGTAACTCACCTGGAGACGGCAAACAGGGAGTCATGTCAGAAACCGGTTCTACGAGTTAACTCGATTTAGTTATGACTGGTTGGTCAGACAGCAATTCAGGTCAAAGTGCTTCACAATCGACTGATGAGCAGAAAATAAAATAAAAACAATGAAACACAATAAAATAGATTTTAAAAACTATGAGAAAAAAAAGAGAAGAAACTTTGATATTCACAGTTTTTAAATGTTCAAGACTATTTTAATACTGAGATTCCACCTGCTGCTCATGTGGAAACCAGCATTTGATGACTCACCTCTACAGAGTAAGACATGCTGTTGTCATTATTGCTGTCATTGATCTTGGTGAACAGGTCCTCGCACAGCTAAAAAGCAAAGCAGGTATTTTAACAGGAAAAACATTCATCAAAAGACAATTATTACCGTTTTTAGTAAATACATTTGCGAGGAATATTTCCAATTATCAATCAGAACTGTATGCTGCTCTACCAGAGGTATGATCCCTTGTTGGTCTTTCTCTGTTGGTCGTCCCATCATGGTGTAGCTTTTGCCAGCTCCTGTCTGGCCATATGCAAATATGCAGACGTTGTAGCCTTCGAAGGCATGAAGCAGCATCTCCTCTCCGATGTCCTTGTACACCTGCATCTGAGACGCATAGTTGATGTCCTCAGGCTACAGACATGGAGGGAGAGGAGTGGAAACAAAGACAAAAAGATGAGACAGACCAACACCCACTGTTTTTAACAGCATGATACGACATCAAGAACACGCCTGCTTCTTATTGCTTGTTTTTTTCCATTAAAGTATTTGGAAAAATCAAATCAATATTTTCCATCAGTCTCCAGTGGTTCGTTTCAGGGGGAGTCATTAATATTCTTATCCAAGCAGTAAAATAATGATTTCATGAAAACTCACCGTAGTGTGTGACCAGTAAGAGAAGTCAAAGTTAAAGCTCTTGTTTTCTTTCGGCTGTTTGGGGTTCAGGATCGCTGAAAGGAAGCAAAACAGATCAGTTATTATTCAATTTCACCATTTTCACTGCTATGATCTTCTATCTCAATATTTTTGCTTGTTAGGGGTAACTGGTAACCCTAACCCTGAAGTGCCCCTGTCCTGTCAGTAGTCTTTTTTTAATGAATTATTCACATACTAATATATATGAAAGTACACAATCAGCTTGATGCAAATGTCAAAATATATTTAATGATCTGTGGATTTGCTCAAAGCTATAGAGCTAATAGTAAACAAGGAAAGACTTGATAATGTATATGTATAATTGGACCTGTGTAAATTGTGGCCCTTTTATAGCCCCCGATTTAGAGAAATCCTACATCCGCCACTGTCTTTGTCATTATTTATGACAGAATAAACACTAAGCCCTTATGTGGGGATTGAACTGATTATAACTGGTCAGGGACAGACCACTGGACTGGATACAACTGGATTCATCAGACTTCTCTTTGTGTCAGTAAAAGCGGTTTCAAATCCACTGTCTGATAACGAGGGGAGGGGTGCTAGGTTTGTAGAATATGAAACAAGAAATGAGCAGGAGCAGATTCTCTGTTTGCGGCACACTGAATCCTCTCTAACGCCCCCTGCAGACAAGTTTAACATTACAGCAGAACTGTTTGGGTGAAACGTGCACTCAGCCGGAATCAACGGCGAGGCTAGAAAGCAGGAAAAAATAAAAGAGCAGTGAGAGCTGTGAGCACATTCACAGTCGGTGAAGTTAATGAGCTGAAATAATCAAAGTTTAAATCTTTGGCTCTAGTGAGGTCATTAAAAACACTGACCAGCACAACGGGCACAAACACACACTAGCTTGCATCAGCTGACCCTGTCAGGGCTCAACCAGAACAATGGGGTCTATTTGGCCCCTGTGGCTCGTATGATGAGAGCGCAGAGCTGTGGCGTTGCTGCATCCGACACACTGACAGGCTTCAGACCTGACTGAAGCTTTTGTTTCCCTCCCTGGCTGCCAAGATGGTGCGTGTGTGTCTCCCTGCCCACTCTCATGTTTCTGCCGGTCAAAATTGCAGACGAGACAAATATCTGAGGTGAAACTCAGCTCAGAGTAGGTCACAGGAACATAATCATGACGGGATCCGCAAGCAGAGTGTACGAAACGTTGAACGTCATGACAGCTTCACAAAATTGAAGCAAATTAATCTGGCTGGCACCAATATAGCTCATAAACACTGTCTACTCCATGTTAGCAGATGGAACATGGACCAAACAACCAAAGTAAAACAATACAGGCCTTTCATAGGTGACGAAAAAGCCCCTATAGTGGACATTTCATGGACTGTCGCAGTTGCCCCATAAGATTACATTGTAGTCACTGCTGCAGGGTCAGCACTGCTGGCAGATGCGATCTACTGGATCAATTCCAAAGGTTTTCGGGGTAAATGCGACTGCGACTTGAAATGTTAGAGTCCCATTTTGTAAGTGTCATTCATTTACACTTCCACATTTATAAACATTCCAAATTTAATTGCAGAAAGTTATTGTCTCAATGATTACAGTGCATTTCTTTTACTCCTGATACTGTTGAAATAATGTTTTACAGCCACATCATCATGTTACAGCCATATCCTCTCAACAGTTCTCCCATCAACTGCCAACACACTTAAAAAAAACGACTTGAAGTGATACTCACTTGTGGTGTTCCCTGTCATCTGAATGATGCATTTACTCTCCTTCCCGATCTCTCTGGAGTTGAAGGGTCGAACCCTCACCGCCACCTTCACCGACGCCCCCGCCATGATGCAGGTGGGTGCGCGAGAGAGCGGTACAGCTGGAGATTCGTGTGGCTACACAGACACACGCCTGGCACCTGCAGGGGTGGATGTCAAGAAGTTTATTTACTGGATTTATTAGCAACAGAAGTGGACATGTATGGGATAGAGACATTAGAAATATAGATTTCACTTGCACCTTTCAAGGCTTGTTGTCATTATTCTGTAATATGGAGGACAGTGCCATGTAGGCCTAAACAAACAGCTGAGAATAACATGATCCTCCATTTTTGGGCCTTGCATCTGTGAGTCTGGCCTGAGGCAGATTCACACTCGGACTAAAAGGCTGGGCCAGTATTTGTCAGGAAGATCACCAGCATCCCTGATATTCGACAGTAAGATGGCTGCTTATTCTCCGGGCATCATCCCCTCACCTCACAGGCCCTGCACTGGAACTGTCTCCTCACTGCTTCACAGAAAATTACACAATTGTCTGGAGGTAAATCTGTGGCGTTTTTCTCAGCACATGCATCGTCCAACCTCCACCCATGAATAACAACATCCCTCCTAAGCATCTTAAGGAAAAGACATTATCGACAGTGCAATCGCAGAATCCGAGGAGACATCCGTTCTATGGTGACTGTAAATATTCATAACCCGTGTAAATATTGTCTCCTCCATCTTGCCTCGCCTGCCGCACCTCAAACACAGGCCGCGTAAACAGAAACGGCACAGACGCCTGCTCATCCACCACTGCGTCAGAAAGGAGGTCAGCTCACATTAAAACGATTTAAATGACATTTACGCATCATTTTGAGAGCAGATGTTCGGTCGTGTGGGAATATGAAAGAGGAATTGATCATTAAAAATCCTCACTCAGTCCTTTCATCGCCTCTGATGCGCACACGAAATCGCACAAACACAAACACGCACGCATCCGCTGCCCTCACCTAGTAACACCCTTTGGTGCCGACGCTGTGCCATGAAAAGCATCGCACTTGATCCGTGTCTTACCTCAACAACTAGACTCGAGCTCAGAGGGCGAATCCTCCGCCCATTCAAACCAGCGCCAGGATCCTGATCTCCTCAGCAGCCCGTGTTTCTGTCTTTGGGCGTCTGAGCTGGAGCGTCTACAGCATCCCTCCTCTGAGCGCGTCCATACATGGAGAGGATCCGCCGGGGAAAGAGCCTCAGCTTCAGCAGCAAGTGTGGAACACAGCGGTGCGTCAGTCACAACCCGAGTGGGAGACTGGCTGGCAGGCAGGGAGGGTGGGAGGGAGGGGCGAGGGCCGGATGGATGCGGGATGCTCTGTGCGTGAAGTCGGTATGAGAGTGAGGAAAATGGCGGTGCTGCTGTGGCAGAGAAGGCTGGGAGGCGGTGGTGACATCAGCATCAGCATCATCAGCATCACCAGCATCATCCGCAGCAAGCAGCCATGATGGCAGAGCCCATGCAGCACAGAGGAGGAGAGGAGACAGGACCTGGGGGGATTTAAGGCTAAACATGGGCGGATTACCATTGGTGGAAGAAGTACTCAAATTTACTTAAGTAAAAGTAATGCCACCCTGAAAATACTTAATTGCAAGTAAAAGTCCTGCATTCAAAACCTTGGGTGAAAGTATGTAGGCTAAGTATCATCAGCAGGATGTACTTATATGCAAAGTAAAATTACATTATCTACTTTTCCCAGTTCCAAGTTCTTGTTGATAAGAGTTATCACACATCATTGACTCCATATAAAGAAATTAGGCCCAAATTATTCTGGATATGAAGGCCGCCATCTTGTGTTGAGAAAGTCAGTCAGAGCCAGAGTTTGCACAATAAAGCAATCAAGGTGCTGCAATATCCGGTCCCACAGATACAGACACTTGACCAATCACGAGCCAGTCTCAGGTGTCAATCATGTCATTTCACCCAGTTTGTACAGCATCAAATAATTAATTAAAATACAATACTAATGGGAAAAAATGAACATATATAACACAAGAGCAACATTTAATGGGAAACCGTCACTGAGAAAAATGAATCTGACGTGCCCTTTGACTTTTAACGTTTGGTCATTGTCCCATTAGCTAACATGGTGGAGATGGGGTGTACACTGCAGCCCGCCACCAGGTGATGATCAAGATGATTTGTCTTTGGAGCCGATATATCGTCCATCTTTACCATACATATGATCTTTACATACAGTCAGTATGGTGTCTACACTGCATCGCACCATCATGTGTACGGGTCACTACTGGGTGAAAAGATAAGTAATTAGTATCAGAACCTTCAGATATCACTAAATGTTTACAAAACACCAGTGACACCCCCTGTGGACAAACCTGTGTGCTCCTCTCACCTTCTGTCTCTCCCTGTCCCTGTCTCGGCTCCTCCTCCCACTCTGTTTTGGTCGATTTTGAGTTTTCAGTTCAGTGCAAAGGCCGGCGAGGACGTCATTCTGAGTCCCATTTATTTACAAGTGGTGTAATTATTGACCAAGCCAGGCTCAGAGAGGCCCCCATCTGCTGATCCTGCTGTGACATAACAGCTGTAAGAAAAGGCAACAACAACAGATTTCCAATTTGTATAAAAATGCTAGTTAAACAATAAATCAGATTTTTAACCTATAAAATATTATATCTTTGTGAGTGGAAACGTTCCAGCTGACCAGTTTGAAGTTTGGAGTTCTAAGATGTTTTCTATTGTTAAGGAAACTAACTTTTGTCAACCCTATTAGAAAACATGATTTCAGTGGTTTTAACATTTTTATTTTTACAACTTCAACTTGAAATGTTACAGCTCCTTTGACCATGACAATGATCAATATCACTTTGATCATGGAACATTTGATGAGCCACAATAATTGGTGGAGGAGAACTTCTTCCCTACTGTAGGCAGTAAAATTGAGCTCTCTCTCTGTGTGTGTGTGTGTGTGTGTGTGTGTGTGTGTGTGTGTGTGTGTGTGTGTGTGTGTGTGTTGCCTGCCCATCCTTCCTCCTTGGAGAGAGCAGATTGGCTCGGCTGAGAGGAGGCTCCTCTTTACAAACCCAATGCTGAAGTAAGTGGAGGGGCAAACAAAATCAACAAACCACCTGCAAACTAACCTGAACCAGATCCAAGCTGCAAAGTGCAAGTCCAGATTTTTCTGGTTTAAGAGTCAGCTGCTGTGGATACAGAACAGAAATGAGTCATAAAAAAACAGTTCTGCTAGATCAAAACCGGCAAAAGAACAAAGCACTGCTGACAAATAGGTTCTGTCAAATATTGAATTATAAAAGTATCACATATTTACAGAGTGAACACTGTATTTCCCTGCAGTGGAAGAAATTTTCAGATAATTTACTCGAATTAAAGTCATATTGTTAAACTTAATTAAATAACATCAATTGCCAGGGTTTGTATTTTTCATTTCCTTATATGGACTCATGGGAAAAGGGCCCTGATAACCACATGTCTACAGATTGTGTGAGTTTTATAATCTTGGAAAAAGAAGTTTTTAACAGTGAAGTTAGGCATACAACATAATGCTCCCCCCTCCATTCTCTATTATGGCCTTATATGCCAGTGTACCCCTTATTGCCAATCTTGATGTCAAGGGACACAAACCGCCCTTCGCCCAGCAGGTCAAAGACCTGTTAAATCTTTACCTAAAGCTCACAGTCAGACTGAGTCTCTCTGTCTGTCAGTGTTGAGCTCACTCAGTGCGAGTCTCTCTGTAACCAGGACACCAGCTCTAATGCAGCGGTCTTTCTTCAGCCGGAGCGCGCTGCTCGCCCAGCAGACTGCAGCGGCCCTCGATGGTCCCCTTGCCGCCAGGAGCGCGCCGCTCCTGCAGCGCATGGATCGCTCCATGTCCTCCGTCACCATTCCCCCGCCAGCGTGCATGCTACGCCCGCTAGAGGCCCCGATGCGTTACCTATTCGGACCGGGACCCTCAAACGTGCCTCCGCGTATTTTGGCAGCAGGGTCGAAGCCAATAATTGGTCACATGCACCCGGAAATGTATGAGGTAAATTTTTTGTTGGAAACTATGACTGAGGCAAATTTAACCCGATTCTTGTTTTATTTAAACATTAATACTGCATTAAAAATTCGTTTACAAAAAATGGTTGAATATTTGGTTCTCCACTGAGATTTGGTTTTATTTGATTACATCCAACTTACAGGTCTGTTGGGGTACACGTGTTAACAGTCATACCACCATTCTGCAACACGACGCATCTGCTTTTTCTCAGTTAAACATAACAGAACCAAATATTTATGGAATGTGGCCAAAGTCACATTCAAATCAAATCAATAGCAGTGCGTAAAAACGCATACAGGCTACAGGATTTACGCACCCACACAATTCACTCAGTTAAACCCATTTGACAATTGTAGCTGAAAAAAGTTGTTTTCACTGTTTGTCCAAGATCATGAATGACATCAAGAGAGGGATCCAGTACGCCTTTCAGACAGAGAACAACATGACGATAGCCATGAGCGGCTCCGGGCACGCGGCTATGGAGTGTGCGGTGTTCAACACGGTGGAGCCCGGAGAGAGCGTGCTCGTCGCCATCAACGGAATCTGGGGAGAACGCGTTGCAGAAATTGCAGAAAGAATGGGTACATCTTTACGCACAATTTTACGCACGATTTTACGCACACCACATATCTATCTATCTATATATGTATCTATCAATACATCTATCAGTATTTAATCATTAATGTTTTTATCTTTAGGTGCCAATGTACATAGAATGGTTAAAACACCAGGAGGATATTTTACTAATAAGGAAATTCAACAGGTAGGCTTAGTGTCCTATTCAGGCTCATTTATCAGAACCAATACATAACTAAGAAACTTGACAAACACTAACTTAACACATGTTACATACTAGATAATTAACTTCTCTTACTTCCTGTCTGTAGGCCATAGAAAAACACAAGCCCGTCCTGTTTTTCCTCACACATGGAGAGTCCTCCGCTGGCCTCTGTCACCCAGTAGACGGCATTGGTGACATCTGCAGAAAGTGAGACTCACTCTGCATCTCTCTGAAACCGAACATTAAAAATCCTGTTGGCTAATTACAAAGCATAATGTCAAATTTCCAACCCCTCACTCCCGCAGACATAACTGCCTCTTCCTGGTCGACACAGTTGCTTCACTTGGAGCAGCACCAATTTGTATGGACAAGCAAAGTAAGGAAATGATAAAAGACTGAATTGAGAGCAAATCTGCCTGTGACTGTGCACTTACATCTGCCTCTTGTGCTCCCAGACATTGACATCTTGTACACTGGTTCTCAGAAGGCCCTGAATGCACCTCCTGGCACAGCCCCCATCTCTTTTAATGACAGAGCATGGTAAGAAAGGACTCTGTGGTGTGGTGTGTGGAGCTGTGCATACAGTTCCCCAAATTGCCACAACTGTATACAAAGAACTGAAAACAAACAAAAAAAGTAATCTCTTTGTCTCTGATACTTCTCACAGCCACAAGATGTTTAACAGGAAAACAAAACCCGTGTCCTACCTCTTTGACATGACACATTTATCCAACTACTGGGGCTGTGACGGCAAACCAGCCAGAATGTAAGTCTGCTGCAACCAAGCATAATTGCTGCATGCCTCCTTGTTCTACTCACATAAACTTTACTTAAATTGGAATTGCAGATCATCAGAATGACATTAAACTATATTCTTATTTTTGAACTGTGCAATGTTCATATTATTGTTTGGTATGAGAACAATGTTTGATCCAGTGTGCTCTGGGTTTCAGTTACCACCACACTGGTCCTGTGTCTGGATTCTTCGCTCTGAGAGAGGGTCTGGCAATTCTTGTTGAGAGGGTAAATCAGCATTTTCTATCTATCTACTCACAGGCTTTACTTTGAATCAGGGACAGTGGTACGTTTCACCACTTTACACATTTACCACACAATTCATTAACTCTTGCATTCACCGGCCACTGCCAGCCCTTGAACTGCGTTGTCCTTTGTCTCCCTCTAGGGGCTGGAGGAGTCCTGGAAGAAACACAAGGAGGTGGCAGCCTATCTGTACAGAGGACTGGAAGACCTGGGCCTCAAGCTCTTTGTCCCTGAAAGGGTGAGTTGGGTTAACTACTGTATTACGGTGCAACAAAAAACCTGATGCTGAAGAACAGCAAATATATTGTGCCAAAAGAAAAGAGATAACAGCTCTGGACTGGAACATAAGCATTACAAATATAAATATAAAATTGTGCATCCCTTTAGCTAGTTTGCGCTGTAAGATTGCAGACTCCAGATTGTTGTTTTAATGGTGTGACATGTCCTGCAGGATTTAAGGCTTCCGTCCGTCACCACCATTGCAATCCCTGACGGTTACGACTGGAGGGAGTTGTTGATGTACATTATGAAACACCACCAGATGGAGATGACTGGAGGCCTGGGTCCTTCCATTGGCATGGTGAGACGCTGCTGGTATTTTATCCCTGAACAGTAAAGACAATTTTTTTTAATTATATTTTTGGAATTAAAAATGGGGCGAATTTTACCATAAACAATATCTTAAGTCAGGTGTTTTAATAGCTTCCTGAATCATGCTGCTGAGTCACTGTGGACTCACTCTTCTCTCCACCGCTCTTTCATTAGGTGATGCGGATTGGATTGATGGGATACAACTGTGAGAAGACCAACGCTGACATGGCACTGCACGCCCTGGCAGACGCTCTCAAGAACTGTAAAAAGAGCAAAGCTTAACAGAGCTTAACACCTGGGGCAGTGCATGTATTTTAGTAATGTGTGTGCTTTCGCCTGCAGAGATTTTATACATATATAAATAAAAAAGCACAGGCAACGTAAATGTGCCTTTCTTGTATAAGTAGTTGGTAGTTAAAAAAAAGGCAGATATGTAGTAGTCCATACTGAGTGCACTGTAAAATTTCAATAAAGTGTGCTTTATTTTATCAGACATGTCCTGCTTGTGTGCTTTACATTAGTATTGACATTTATGCAACTTTCATATTCCCACTCCACTACATGTCAGGAAATATTATACTCAATGAAAATTGTCGGAAAGCTTCAGCACTTTTCAGATGACATTTTTCTGAAGAACTGTTCTTTTATTTGTTATTCTAAATCAAATCTTTCAAAATAAAAAAACTCTTGCAATAACTGGAAAATGCACCATCACAATTTTTCTGGGCTTATAAACAGTTTAATTTTCATGGCTCTCACAGACATGTTGACCTTAATAATATGATGCATTGCTGTAGATTAAACTACAAAACCAATTAGTTCAAATGAGCTCCACATTAAACATCTGGAGAAACACCTACAGCAGTAAAATGCCACAAACACAATAATGCAGCAGTGACATCAGATAGATTTTATTTTTACTTTTCTTACTATAAGTACAATTTGCTTATAATTTTGCTCAAGGTTTTGAATGCATGACTTTTACTTGTAGTGGAGTATTTTTTAAATGTAGAGATAGAACTTTTCCTCTCTTCACCTGCCTGAGCTGACGGCCTACATAAATTATAGCTCATCCAAAATGCAGCAGCCAGACTTCTCATCAAATCTGCTCAAAGAGAGCATATTACTCTGACTTTAGTTTCTCATCACTGGCTTTCAGTAAAATCTAGAATACATCACACTACCCAGCGGATCATTTGACCAGTCGTCCTGAGTGAAGACCCAACCGTCCACTCTCTTTTAAATCTCTGCTAAAGACAAACTCTCCTCCTAGTTCTGACCATGCCATCTATTTTAATTCTTTTTTCTTTTCTAGTTTCTGTTTCTGTGTTCTAATGCTGTGTGCTCTTCTTTTAAAAGGTGCTACGGAAATAAAGTTTACTATTATGACTTTAATTCGACTAAACTATCTGAATACTAAGATAATACCCGCAGAAATATAAAAATGTTACTTGAATGTTACTCTTGGCTTTTTTACTCTTGTGTGGATCACGACTGCCCTAACTACATTTCCCATGATCCCCTGCTTTGCGTCTATATAAACACGTCACACCGCCTCTGTCGCAGTCTGATCTAAGGACATTAAACCTTGTGTTGTGTTCAGTGTAGTTGTTTATATCTTCCTGTTTACGTCAGTAATGGCGTGTCCTGTGAATCACACGGGTAGGTTGTTCCGTTTGAATCTTCATAAGCAGCTTGTTCGGAGTGTCACCCGCTACGAAGTCGTGCACACTTTAATTAACGTCACAGATTTAGCTGAAGTCTGTGTGTCGTTATTTGTACGTACATCTCGAACTCACCGTGGTGCGTTTATGGTCCACCCTGCTTTGATTATGACCGTAGTGAACTTCAGCTTCAGTGACAGTAAACAAGCGGCTGTTGTCCTGAAGTCACCTCTGTGTATAAACCAGTTTCAAACATGTTTCACCAAAGAGTAGTAAGGATCATTGTTATTCCCACCGTCATGCTTAACTTCCGGGTTAGGGGCGCTCGTGAGGTCAAAGACAGGTTTCTTAAAGTGAAGCCAAAGCCTCTCGATCGCCACCTGGTGGCTGGCAGCTGCACATGTCTCCTCTTCAGACCTAGAGGAGAGATGGAGTAGCCAGGTGCTGCAAACAGGGACAGAAAGAAACGTATCAATACCGCTGTGTAGATCACCTGACTTTCTTCACAAACTTCAGTGTCGGATGTTATCGGCACAAATCCTCTAGACATCTTAGCCGGTGTCTTTCTATTGTATGTTCCCTTTTTGGTTTTTTTTTTCAATCAACATCGTCATCAACATTTTCTGTCTGTGTTTTCATGAGCTGTGTGTGTGTTTTGTGATTTACCAGCAGCCGAGTTGAACCCTGCCCTCCTCCCCATAGACTGGCTTCTGGGGGCCTGGGAGTCAGAGGAGCCTGGAGAGGGCTGCTTTCCAACCATAAATCCTTTCCGCTACACAGAGACTCTGCACTTCAGCCATGTGGGACAACCAATGATGAACTTCATGTAAGTTAACATGGGAGCAATCGCACTTTAAAAGCAACACCGTGCAACACATTGTTGGTACAGTGACTTGGAATAGGCAGAGCATTGCCGCCTTCATTCTCACTCTTGACCCTGAACATCTGTTGTTCTATGTAACTTTGGTGAGTGGGTACCACCTCCTGCTTGAAATGTGTAACTGCCTGAGAATCAAAGCTTAAATTGCCAGAATCAGGCACAGCAAGTTGAAGAGTAATGCTGAAATGTAAATCAGTTAATAGGACCTAGAAGTCATTAAAAACCTGCGTTTATCTCCAATATTCAACGTGGGCAGGAGCTCCTCCGCAGTTAATGACGCTTCTAAGACATCACAGACACAAAGTACCCACCTGATCGACAAATAATACAATGATAAGACTTATGGACTAATTTGACTTCTTGCATACAGGAGCCAAAGAAAACAGCTACCACATCTATAGTAAGAATATATTGTCGGAACTGATATAAAAGAGAGAAAATGATATTTCTACAGACTTCTTCAGCTTGTTCCACACTGACGCTGTGTTTACAGGTTCAATGCCTTCCATGCAGAGTCTAAAAAGCCTCTGCACCGGGAGTGTGGCTTCATTCGAATGCAGCCAGGAACCAACAGAGTGGCGTTCATCGCCGCACAAAACTCAGGTAAAGCTACAATTTACAGTTTTTGCCCCTGGTTGTATCCTTTTTATTTACAAATCATTGAATTTCCAGTAATCTATTAAAAGTTAGGCATTCTGACTCATATCCAAGAGAATCATCGACCATACAGAATTTACTTTCTTCAACATCAGGCCCATGATGCAATGTTCCACATAAAGATGGGAACATTATGCAGTAATGTGTTACTGTTTGTTTAGTCTCTCTATTGTTAAAGTGTTAAGATGTAGTGTTTTAATAATTAAGTCAATCTTACATTTTGAAACCTTGGTGCTTTGATAAATAGAATTTCAATTGTTGCTAGATTAAGATTTATCTGGCACAGAGTTGCCTACATTATGGGACGTTTTTAAATGGTTAACTTACTTTGTTGTCTCAAGCAAACACGCACGCACACACACACGCACACGCGCCTCACATGTATTGACTGCAGAGTGACGTGTTGTGAAGGTCTGGTGGAGATTGAGGAGGGGGAGCTGACTGGGAAGCAGCTGAACCTGCAGTCCCACACTCTGGCCAGAATCTCTTTTGCCAAGGAGCCACATGTCCAGCAGGTAAAAATCTGATTCTCTAACTCTTTATGACCGTGCAGCACTCTTCAGTATTTACTCCACTTGTTCACTATATTGAAATCTGCGTCATATTTCATCACAAAACAGCAACAGAACTTTTTCTTGTGAACAAAATCCCAAGAACGCCATGGCGGAATTTCTTCAAATGTGGTACAAACATTCAATTGGACTCAAGGATGAACTGGTTTGATTTGGGTTGTCAAAGGTCAAGGACACAGTGGCCTCACAAAAAATGTTCTCAACCTCATCTCAATTCTGCTTTAGGGGATTTCTTCCACCAACTTAAACATTAACTGGCTAGATTTCCATGGTCATAAGTCACACTGACCTCATAGGAGTCATGTGTCCTCACCCGCCTTTTTCATTTCTTCTAGATATCCAGAGTGTTTCAACTCCGTCCAGATGGAAGGCTGGAGCAGACAGTTTCCATGGCAACAGACAACCAGCCTCTGATGCAGCACTTGCACATCATCTACCATCGGTCATCTTGATCCATCACACAGGCAGGCTTCTCATACTTATAAAAAAAAAAAACCTTCGTCATGAATGACAAATGTTGCTAAAAAAGGCTTGATCAACAATCGGTGATGTGTCAGATAAACATAAACATCTCTACAATTACAGATTATATATTTAAGTCTATACTATGGTACATGGAATGTTGTACATTTACCATTAATGGTACATTCAGTAACAACGGGTAATGGTTAAGGCACGACAGTGGGACACATGTATGTTTTTCTTAATGGCCTCATTTGTGAAACTATACTTTTTGCTTGATAAGGTTATGTTGCTATTTCTGTCCAGATGTTTGATCTTTGGGTTATAAAGGAGGGATGATATTGAGTACAGTATCATTTTTACATGTTGCACTATTATAAGTTTGACAGCTAGAGTAACTGCTGTACCTCTGGGGTCATTCAACTGTCTTATTTTTTTTTTTAGATCAGGAGATTTATTTTGTAGACTGGGTGGCACTGAATTTAAAGTTTGTTTTCAGCTATTTAATTTGATCCTGTAAGAGATTCTCCCCATGTGTTTCATGGTGTTTGGTTTATGTCTGTGAATGCACAGGACCTTCAGATCAAATTGTTTTTCTTTTACTTCCTGTGTACTTCTTCTTCTGTCCTTATAGTTCAGCATGTGAATGTCATTTTCAATAGTCTTCCTGTAAAATTATGTTATAGTTGAAATTCTCTGTATTTTTTCATTTTTACATCACAGGTCAGAATCATCTAAAGCTCATTTTGACCTTCTACCATACTTATTAATATTTGAAGGCGTCTCCACTATCCAAAAAAATTTAACTAAAATATACCAGATATGAAAACAGCCATCTTGTGCATTTGGAGCCAGAGTCTGTGTGGTAGCGATGGAGCCATTCTAGGTATCGATGCATGTAATGACTAATTAAAACCTGACTGGAAAAAATAAAACTTCAACAAAGTGTCTTGGAGAAAAATTTATTTGACGTATACTTTGACTTTTTAGTCGGTCCACATCCCATCCATTAACTTGGGAGTTTATGACTTATACCCCAACCAGCCACTAGGCCTCACTTATGAGGTCCATCTTTATATATAGTCAAATCCCCAAAAGGGAAAATTCAAATGGATAAGCTATCAATAAAAAATAATCATCAGTAAGTCAAGGTCTGAAGATTTAAGTTTATTGTGGATTAAAATAAAAAACTTCCAGACACACATTTATAAATTAACACTGTGAGAGTAACAACCTTAAGGCATATCACACAATCATTCTCTTCATACTGTCATAATAAAAATATAAAATCATAAATAACCTATTTACAAATTAAAAAGGAAATGAATACCCGCCAAAACATGTGCAGTCAGTACATATCACGCCTCTGCTCTTTGGCCAGAAATGGGCACAGCGAGACCTGACATTTCTCAGTAAAAGCGGCACCAGAAGGTTTAATAGGTTACAACATTTTGGGTCATAGCAGGAAAGAGACACGCTGTGCTTTGATTGAGTACAAAAGTGCAAACCCATGAAGTGCCAGCCGTTGATACCACCTGATATTGCTCTTCTGAGTGAAAACACCCTGAGAGTTGTTCCCAGACTCAGAATTCTCAGAGACCCAGCCAGCTGAAGATCAATTTTCACTGCGAACAAAGCGTCCACCTTTTTCATCGCTCTTTCATCTACGTGTAATATCCTGAGACAAACGTGAAATCACAACATCCGACTGAGTATTAACAGCCCCCAACAGCTCACTGAACATCATCACACATCACACTCACAACATGGGAGAAGCCTGTTTTTTACTGCACTGGCGTAAGCAGAGGGAAAATATACAGAGGAGGCGAAGTGAGACACACTTGTTCCTTTCCATTTATGCCCTTAAATATAATGGTGACTACTCTTTGGATGAAGGGTAATCACCTGCACACCCATCGGACCCCTGAGACAACAAACATGATGCTGATGAAACATTTGCTGGTGGCCCGTCAGCAACAGACTGATGTCTGCGGGCAGGCCGAGTCCCCATCGGGCTCAATCACCATCTCCGCTCCAGCTTTTGATAAGTCCGAGATCTATTTCTCCAATCAAACAATCACGCTGTGTCTCCCGAGCGCTCCCTCTCGACTGTTCATGACTCCTTCATGATGTAGACGTATATCGTGGTGAGGAAGTACTTCAGGGACTCGACGACAGACGACAGCCACGGCTGTTCAGGGATGAGTTCTTTCTTTACTACACATTTTGTAAGCTCTGCCTGAAAAAAAAGGAAATTAAGTGATATTTTAATAATTTGATTGCATTTAAACTTAATTATGGATTGAAATAAATTAAGAATAAGGCTATATATGAATCTGATTAAATTACAAACTCACATTTATATTTATATACACACAACTATACAATATAAATATATATGTACACTCTTCTCATTGTAGCAGATCAACTAACAGGAAGAGACAGTATGTTGAGAAGAGGATAACTGAACCTTTCTAAGATGGATAAAATCAGATTTGGCAGAAATCCTCTAACGCTTCTGAAAGCAAACTGAGCTCTGATGCACAAATTGGATAAACATCAATAATAATTGGATAAACATCATAATAATTATTCATAATGCAGTCAGAAACCACAGACAAGCAGTGCTTTTCCCCCTTGTTCTCTAAAAAGTCAAAATCAATTTTTCATTCAGTGTTTGTCCACAATGTCTCTCAAAAACAAGGATAATGCAGCATTGAAAGAGATAATATACTGCACCTGGGAAACCATCTCTCCTTGACTCAAATGTGATAATTCTCTAAGTTCTAAAGAGGAAAGGAAAACACCCTCCTCCAAATCACAGCTCATTATTGTCACCATGTCCAGCAACCGCCACTTACCCATCCTCCCCGTCTCTTCAACCAAGGAACCAGGAACTTGCGGACAAACTGTCCCAGACTGTCAACTATGATGTGAACGTTGGTCGCACGTCCTTGTCTGACACAGTCCACTGCCAGGGCTCCAGCCACTGCATACATGGCTACCACCTTCCCCCATGTTATACCTTCAGGGAGAAAAATTGACAGTGATGGATTAGAATTGATTTCACTGACTGGCTCGTCATTCATAACACGCTTAATGTTGTTTGAGCTTGACTGTGCAGAATGATGAAGAAATCCCTTCTTCTTCATCGCCACTCTAAAAACAGCACTTGGCAGTGCAGCATAGCTGCTGTTTTGAAATGATTTCCATGACAAATATATGTAGTTTTATCTGGATGAAAAAATATACTTTGTCAGTATCAGTATGGAGTTATGGCTTATACTGCATCCAGCCACCAGGGGGCCATCGAGATGCTTCACATTTTGGGAGCTGTTGTGTCGTCCATCTTTATATCAACGAGCAATCCAATTTTATTTGTTTAGCCCATAAAACCTCAGCTTCAAGCCTCCACTGGGAGTTTAATGACTGGAAACGATAAATCGCTATATTTATTCCTAGACATTCCTTTTCGAGGCAACGGCAAACATTAACGTCCATCTCCTCCAAGGTTTGCTCATCGTCTGTTACATATTCTGTGACCGGACAGGAGGCCTGTGGGGCACTTGGTGGACCTTGCACTGAAATAAACTGTAAACATGAGGTGTAAGTCAACAAACTGCCACATTTGAGTTAACATGGCTGATAACAGGTCTAACTGCGTCACATACCACCTGTAAATTAAACAGGACCAGACTCTGCTGCGTTTGAATTGTGGTGGGTGAAGCACTGACGAGATTTCAGGCGTGGGGAGGTTGACAGGATCAGAATAGGATTTTTTATCTCTCAGGGGCAAATGAGATTCATAAAGCTAAAGAGGGACATTTTAACACCCTCTGAAACAACGAGTCTGATAATTATGGACTTCCGGCCACTTGTATATACAGTTTCCAGGGCATCAGGGATTGTTATAATGACCAAGGTGTAATGGCATAAGCCTCCTATAGGTTGTGCTTAGTTTGTCATGGTTGTAACTCCGAGCTGGGCAACAGCGTCTGACCAGGGCTATAAGGGGATAGAGCCCTGGGCGAGCTTAAAGCTCTCAGAGCACGTCATGTCTCGCTCCCTACGGAGAAGCAGGCCAGGAATAGAGACAAGATTGTCAAGGATAAAGCTGGAGGAGGGGAGGGCGGAAAGAGAGAGAACAGAGGTGGGAGGTGGGCGAAGATGGATGGAGAGGCGGCAAGTAAGAACAGTGCAGATGGCTGTGGTGATGATATGCAGTCAGACTCCATATCCATGATGGCAAATACCACAAAGCTGAAAAAAAGAAGAGCAGGAAAAACACACTTTCATAACTTATTCTATTTATATCCAGGTTTCCACTGGTTAAAAAAGGCAGGGGCAGCCTGGGTTCACCGGTTTGTTATTCTTCAGAAGGAATCCCACGCCGTTTCCCAAAATTACACCAGGGTGACGTCGAAATAGCCACAAGTTTAGTCAGAACACAGGCATGAAATTTACATTTAAACCAGCCCGTTTTGATCCTTCCTAGAATAGAGACAGATTTGTGTGGTTCATTGCACTGCAAACAGACCAATCTACAATTTTAAAATGTCTTTGCTGCTCTGAGCAGATCATTTGTCAAGACAACCGAAGACACCCAGCTCCGAAGCCTCTCCTGAGACCAACTGGCACTCGAACAAGAATGTTTTGTTAAGAGCAAAATATATTAAGGACAGTCCATGACATTAAAGTGGGGTAAACTTTAAACTAGAGCCGGAAATTATATGAATTCTTTGGAGGCCAAATCAAATCCTGATATTAGATGAACATTTCTGATCCACATATATCACTTTCTTTAACCTTATGAGAAAGAGCCCTTGGCAGTGGTATGCGCTCTACTGAGTGCCATTCTAGTTCATACATGTAAACTTTACAATCTTGCAGTGATGACAAAAAAAATGATGGTGAGCCCTAAGTATCAAGAATCTGACTTTACTGCTCACTGTACAGTAAACTCTCGAGTGCCAAGAGTAGTGAGTGAGCGAATAAGTAATGACCATACACTGAATATAAAGATGGAAGACGTGTCTCCACTTCCTCCCACTATCCAGAAATGGAGTCATACTATCCCAGATACGAACACTGCCATCTTACGCCAGTGACACCAGTGGGAGCCTGCTCAGTAACGATAAGGGGAATGAGGAGGGGTAATGCTCGAGTCTGTTACAGCATTAATTAAGCTAATTAAAGAAGAACTTCATCAGTGTGATAAGAACTAAAATGAGAGAAAACCTTTTGATGTGTATTTGGACTTCAAAATACAGACCTTCAATCATAATCGATACCATCTGTTCATTAGACACTCTTTATGGGTGTAGGACTCATTTTTAACTCTTGCCTCTAAGCCAACGCCCTGATGAACACAGCACCACACTGGCTGACCCACATGCCCACGTTTGCAACTTGCAACGTCATCATCAACACTTTCGGCTCAGAACAGCCACGTACCTGTGGCAAAGACCTCCGTTGTCACGCCGATAAAGGCATCCGAAACCATGCTCTCCATGGCAACAGAGATGCTGAGCTGCCGCGCCACGTTCCTGTACAAAGAGGGCTGTATGCACTCCAGCTCGTCGCCTAGGTAACAGAGGGAGAGCACAGAGGGAGAAAGGAACACTCAGTTACTCTGAATGAACGAGACAGAAAGCAAACACACAGATTCAGTTCAAACCAATTATTTAAACATCTCCGTCTTTAGAAAGACACAGAGGAGTTTAGCTGCCGTCTGAAATGTGTCATGTCATCCAGATGTAATCACCTGGTTCACACTGTTCTCACACACACCGACGTAATCCCTCTCTCATCATTTGCTTCAGGCTTATCACAGCTTGAAATAAACAGCACACACCAGTAGGCCTACATTATGTGGACGTCAGTAGGGTCCAGGTCCTTTATTTGTATAAATCAATTATCAATGATCGAATTCTTCCGCACATACTGTTATCTGAAAGTCGATTAGAACGCAGCATCTCAATCATATCGCCGTGACAACAGTGACCTCACGTTGGCTTTCAGCTGAAGACAAACAAGATAATGTTGATTGCTTTGAAAGCTCGGAATTGATCAATGTTAAGTTGCAGTGTGTCATTCATCAATTAGATCGGTTTTATCAGCCGATCTGAGCTTTTCACAGACATATCAGTATCTGCATTTATTTTAACAGATATGAAAACTTTAATTTAACAGAATAAACAATTCAAACAATTCAAGTTCTCTGTATTTGGTTGTATTTTCTTTTATTGAAAGTTTTTAGGATAAAGTTTAAGGTTAAACTCTAAAATATCAATTCTTTAACATTTTGCCTTGAAAATTGTGTCTTAATGTCAAATACAAGATTGTTCTTATTATCAACTGCTCATATTATTTTATTAATCCACATAGAGGGATGTGTTTCAGGTCTGTTTATTTGTATGTTTACTTTTTAAGCGGACATTTTAAAAGCTCCCACCATGTTCATCGTTTGCATTTTGTTTGCATCATGATGGGGACCGCCATGTATTCATGGTGTGAAATGGCCTATTTTTTCATGCAACTCTAGATTCACCATTTATCCAATTTAATGCAGATCAGAATCTAGAGGAAAAGCCACATGTCTCTAAAACCTTATGGATTCTGCAGCCTTATTGCAAACTTTTGAATTTCTTACTAGTTAAAAGAAGAATATTGACATTATTATATATTTTCAAATTATCAAAAATGAAAGAAAGCTAAGTATAAATGATTTTGCCATTTTTGTGTTACTTGGACTATAAGTCAAGATCAGAAGATGACAACCACGGCCTTGAATGCATAAACATGTTGCTGTGACAGTTTTGACATTCACTAGTTATTTGAGAGTTGAGAGGCCGTCAGGTTTCTCTTACCAAGACAGAGCAGGACCAGAGAAACCTCAGCGAGCGCCGCATTCGAGGGAGAGAGGTTGAGCTCAGACTCCGACCATCCCAGGCCGTTGTGGTTGAGCCTGGACAAGATGTAGTCCCTGCACAGGGCTTTGGACTGAGACACCAGCTCCTTCTCAGTCAGCGAGCGGTCAAACACATCCAGGACCTCTGCGGCAAACACAGAAGACCTCCGCAGGACCTCCATGTCCTGCTGCAGAGGATCAGGGTCAGAGGGATGTCTGACCTCTTTGGATTAGCTGTGTCTCAGTGTCTTTATCCCCAGGAAGTTTAGTGGTGGAGACGATGTTGCAGCTGCAGGAGAGAAAAGGCTTATTTACAGAGAGCTGGTTGTGATTTATACCATTTTATCTTGATTTGTTTTTCCTAGAAGAGGAAGAGAAACAATAAAATCAAGCAGCTTGGTGTGGGCGCATAAAGACATGTAGACCCCAGCATCTAAAACAGAGCAGAAACTTATATAATAATATAATGGAGGCGTTATTGTTGTGAGTCACATGATGGGATAGACAAGATATTGCTACACTTCTTTGGATTATGCAACAAGCACTGATACCACAAAGTGATAAGAGAAATGTTTGTGTTGCTAAAGCACCAACAGACCAACACTGATTTTCTAGACTTGTTGTCAGTGCTTAGTCTTTAAAACCCCGAGTGGAACATTTGAATTCTTGATCAATGTGTTTGAGCATAATGAGAAAAAGACGCTTACCTTTAACACAGTATCCACAGAAAGATGCCCGCGCGCCTGATGTCACAAATATGCGAATCTTCCAGTGATTGATCTCCACTTGACTAGTCAGGAAACATGTCACACCGGTTCTCTGTGGTCCGTCTCGTCTCCGACAGCTACCGCTCCAGGCACTTTGGGGAAACCACTGCGTAAAGTTGGGCCTCAGGCCTCAGGGCTCGTGTGCTGCTCGGTCCACTTATTTAGCCGAAAAGCACCGATTGACTGATCCGAGAGACTCAGTTAGTGGACGCCTACCTGTTGTTCCACCTTCCCATTGGCGCTCAGAGGACGCGTTGGTTTCACAGCACAGGGAGAGCCCGAGAGGGGAGGGGTTTGACGCACGGCTCCATGCAAGTCGACGAGGAAAACGCACCGCGCACAGAGGGACCCAAATCAACTGCAACCTCGTTTTCATTCGTAAATTCGGGGCAGATTATTACGCCTCTGCTGTGATTCTCTGCCAGGATGTAGCTTTCTGTTATGTCCTTTTAAAAATATGCCATTAATCTGTTTCCAGTCTTGTGCGTAAAAGCCTCAAACTTTTACCTGTAAGCTTGGAGTCTGTGATTAGAGGTGTGAATCAAACTGAAGAGGTGCCACTCATTGGGTTTTCCTGGTGGTTCAGGTGGGTCAGTTACCTGCAGCTGATCTCCTGACACAGTTTATGTAAGTGTTCCTGCTCAGGCCAAAAGAGGCGCACTTTTAATCCCATGCAGGACAGATAAATATAGATGTCCTACTCTGCACTGACCACTCAGTCTGATTATATGAATATATGTTCCATATGTGAGGCAATTCTATTTTACTATGTGAAAAATATGGTCAAGTTCAAGTCATTGGAAGTTCCATAGGTTT